CACACACACACACACACACACACACACACACACACACACACACACACAACAACCAATCTCATGATCACCAAGAGAGGAAAATGGGAACTGAGAAGTACTTTGTTTCTGAGTTACGGTGCTCAGCATGTTAGCTGCAATCAATATACCTGTAATTTAGGTGTTCTTAACCTAATAATACATGTGGACATATTTTCTACTCTGAGTTGAAGAGCACCCATACATTGTAGCTGTTGCACATCAGCTCCACCAGCATTTCAAAAACCATACAGGTTCCAGAAATTAAACCACAAAAGAAATAATGTTCATAGTAATATACTCTGATTAATCAACCAAGCAGGGAAGAAGGTATTTCTCATAATGCTGATATTTAACCAAAAGAAAACCAATAAGGACATAAACTATTTTCAAAATAATTGTAAGGAAAATATTAAAAATAACAATTTCTACATATTTTATCTTTTAACTTGTTTTTCTACAAAGCATCCCAAGATAGAGATTATAGGGGCTGTAGTGACACTCAACAGCTAAGAGTGAATACTACTCTTCCAGAAGACCCAAGTTCAATTCTCAGGACCCACAAGGTGGCTCAATACCACCTGTAACTGCGGTTCCAGGCAGATACGTCACCCTCTGACCTCCATCATGTTTACCAGGTACCTGGATGGTTCTCAGATAAACATGCAGCCAAAACAGTCACACATCAAACCTTTTTAAATAATTTTTAAACATTTAATATATGTTATAATTTCATATATCCCTTTATATGACTTTTAGTTACTCATTATCTACATTCACTGTAACCACCTTCCATAATAGTTCTACACCAGACACAGAATTAATTATCTCTGGTCTCACAAATTAGAAGAGACTGCTCACTGGTACTTTATTCTAATTACCAACTAGTGTCAGGAGAGAATATATATATTGCACATATATTCTTTTACATAGTAAAATTATTTTATTTCTATAAGTTATTTTCCCTCTGAAAATAAAGCAAATGTTATACATAGATGATCCTGTCCTGGAACAGAAGCCTTAAATGATTTTTCAAAATAGTTAAATGGGTTTTAAAAGCATAAGGGTGTAAGAGAAACTGAGAGAGGAAGAAACAGGAAAGTTAAAGAGATGCCTAAGCTGGAGTGCTTAGGGCCCTGCCATCTGTGCTGGATTCCTCAGGGAGCCTGGGGGTTCCACCCAGGCTAGGAACAAGATCAGGACCAAGGCTGGGCTTGGAAGAAGACAGGATTCCAGAGTCAAAAGGCCTTCAGCTGGAGGTCTCTTGAAGACTCTCTACAAGGAGACTTCTATCCACCCTTGCCTGTGAAGGGATTTAAGAGTAAAAGTGCTTTTCTAACTTAGGAATTTATATTCTGGAGGCTGAAATTTAAAGGATATATAGACTTAAGTTCACACCATATGTTTAACCCAGGCTTCTCAGGCTTAAACTTTAAAGTGATAGAAAAATGAACTACTAACCAGTGCCAACATGCATTACTCATAGCGACATCCTGCTGAGTAAAGGAGGCCAGACACTAACTATGAAATTCTGCATCACTCACCTAACTTGCAGTGATCCAAACCACATCAATAATTACCATGGTTTAGGGATGGGAATCACTTGCCAAGATGTGAAGATGGGTACAAGGTTAGTTCAGTTCAATGCATGCTTAGAAAGCAAAAGGCCTCAATAAAAGTCATGAAGAAATTCTGAGAAGAGTTCCTTGGAAACATTAATTCAAAATAACAAATGACTCAGCAACTAATTGTGCAAATGTGTCCCACAGAGATGAATATTTAAAAAAAAAATTCAAAATAGAAGTCATTGAAACTTTGGTAAAGAAATCCAAGATTGAGTAGAAAATTAGAGAAAGGAGCAAATGGAAAGTCTGGTAGTATAAAATAACAACTTAAATAAATTAAAAAAAACCTCAATAGAGCTGGTGCACTGCTGCACACCTATAATCCCAGCACTTAGGGAGGCAGAGGCAGGCGGATCTCTGTGAGTGCAAGGCCAGTCTGGTCTACAAAGCTAGTCCAGGACAGCCAAGGCTACACAGAGAAACCCTGTCTTCCGAATAAAAAGAAAAAAAAAAGTCAGTAGATGAGTTAATAGCATGTCAACACATTGGAAAAACCAGCAGACACAGCTGGCCTGTGATAAATTCAGCCTGTACAAATCACTCCGAATCATGCTATGTGTCTACAGGTACTCCAACAGCTCACAAGACTGCAAGGAAAATTGGCCATCCTCTGACTTATAGAGAACAACAGCCAAAAATGATCTTTGTGTGAATTTATCACACTAGAGTTATGCATATTTAAGTGCTGGATACCAGATATTTGTGCCATCAACAAATACGGGAAGTTTAGATTCAGCCAGTTATTAACTATTCTTTTTTTAATTATAATTGCTGTTTATCACAATTTATTCAATTTGTATCCCTGCTGTAGTCCCCTCCCTCATCTCCTCCTGGTTCCACCCTCTCTCCCTCTTCCCCCTATTATCTGACCCTAGCCTATCAGGTCTCATCAGTACTGTCTGGATCCTCTTTCTCTGTGGCCTAGTACTGTGGTCACCTTGCCAGGAAAAGGTGATCAAAGAGCAGGCAACTGAGTTCATGCCAGAGACTGCCCCTGTTCCTCTACTGGGGACCCTGTAGAGACTGAGATGCCCATGGGCTACATCTAAGCAGAGGGTCTATGTCCTCTCCACACATGGTCTTTAGTTGATTCATCAGTCTTTGCAGATGGGCCCATGGGCCCAGATTTTTTGGCTTTGTTAGTCTCCTTGTAAAACTCCTGTCTCTTCAAGATCCTGAACTGAACATCAACAGCACAGGCTCTAAGACCAACAATCAATAAATAAGACCTCATGGAACTGAAAAGCTTCTGTAAAGCAAAGGACACTGTCATCAGAACAAAACGACTGCCTACAGACTGGGAAAAGACCTTTACCAACCATATATCTTACAGAGGGCTAATATCCAGAATACATAGAGAACTCAAGAGGTTAAACACCAACAAACCAATTAATCTAATTAAAAAACAGGACTCAGAGCTAAACAGAGAATTCTCTGTAGAGGAATATAGAATAGCAGAGAAACACTTAAAGAAATGCTTAATGTCCTTAGCCATCAGGGAAATGCAAATCAAAAAGACCCTGAGATTTCACCTTACACCCAACAGAATGACCAAGACGAAAAAACTCAAGTGACAATACATGCTGGAGAGGATGTGAAGAAAGGGAAACCCTCATTTGCTGGTGGAAATATAAACTTATGAACTATTTTTTACATGAGGGTTGTTGTTGTTGTTGTTTCTAAACAAGTCTAGGAGGTCAGTGAAATTCTGTATTGCATCTTGGATTTCTCTGAATTAGAACCAATTCTAAAGTGTCTGTCTCCTGATGCCACAGTCTGTCTGTCTGGGATTTCTTCAGATTTGACAGACATATTTTATATTCAGTTTTAAAGAAAGCCAATATAGTTATTTAAGTGTTTATGAGTCATGCATACATATGTAAGTGCTTGCGATTAATACATTTAAAATAAAGCACCATAAATTCAAATGATGCATTTCCATATTGACCTTTACTTAAAAGCTTTGTACTTTTGCAAATGCATCTGATATTTGATATTTCCTTTTGGATGTGATCATGCACTTACTGTTAGGAATCATCTAAATCAATCACCATCTGCTCCAAGTACATTCAAAGGGGAGATTTGACCTTCATTAAAACCCAAATCTTTAAAATATTAAATCTAAAAATTGTGACAAAAGATTCCAATAAATTGGTCTAGATCATTATTATTGGTCCCCTTGGGGAATGAATGCGCCATTAGCTTTGAAACCTTCAATATCACTTTCAGTAAAGAGACACTCACTCCTTAATCAAAGTTACCTGCTTTGCAACATTCTGTGTAATAAAGTCTAGAGTAAAGCCATCCTGATAGCCAAAGACACAATCATTACTGGTTTTCTCTTGTTGTTTAGTAGCAGTGTTACCAACAATACAGCTGTACACTGGAAAGCAGACCCAGCTCAGCCAGGTCCAGCTCCAAAACTCCCACCCAGGTGTCAATCCCTGTGTACTCACAGCTGGAGAAGGTCAGAGGGCATGCATGTGCATCCATAGGGAAGTTATGCAGTTGCAACTGGCACTCTGCATTGATGGTGAGCCTGTGAAAGAGACCAGCATCATTTCGGATCAGCAACAGCATAGTCAAGGCTTCCAAGGTAGGTAAACATCAGACAGTAGGCTTGGGGGTGGGTGATGCCATGACACAGTGTCATCCTCACTCTGGTTCACTATCTGGGATGCTTTGGTTGCTTTCTTACTGTGATATTCTATTTTGCTTTTAACTACCAATAGTAGAGAAAATTCTAGTAATACTCCAATGGTCCCTAGAAACACAAGCCAAGTCAGAGTGGAGGAAAACAGTGGCTGTTGCTTTCCAAGCCACTGTTTCAATTTGTCCTAATAAAACCTTTCCACTTGAAACTGGTATGTTGGTACACACAAGAATTAGGCCAAATCCATCTATTTACATGGCATTTCTTTCTTGGACACTTCTCTGCATTGCCCCAGGCAGGTGACAGCTGTACTCTGTGAGCACATTTCATGTGCCATGTGTGTCAACATTCTAATAAGGGATCCAGGACCAGCCAGGCTCAGTACTGCTTTGCTCAGGATCAGCTTCTCTTCTTAGTCTACTTCCTAGCCCTTTATGATAGATGAGAAGCCTGTTACAGAAGAATTCTGTCTTTCTCAAACTTCTTTGCTGTGGCTCTTTATTGTACTTTCTGTTGGTCCCTGTCTGGAAATTTGCTTCCCTTTAACTATGATATTGCCTTCATATTTTGATGTCAGTATGTGTTTACTGGTGCTATGAAAACTCCAGTGTTAGAAATCACAATTTCTCCACAGTGCCATGATCACTCGTAATTAAAATCTCTGTAATGAATATGGAATGAAGGAGAACTTTAGAAGCAATGAAGAAACGATGCTTAAGGGAGTCTGGGGAAATTGATGTGTATCAAAGGAAGCTGTTTTCCATTAATCTACAGTTAATATGAAATATCTTTCAACCTGGGAAAGGAGACAAGCAGGTACCTAGGAACATGAAACCTGTAACAGGGTAGATGGACTGTTCACCTTTTTCCTGGTCCTTTCCCTTTCCATTTCTATTAAGGAGGCTGTCCTTTCACACAGTGTTCTGAGTTCTACCAAAAGGCCTTTTTTAAGGTCCTTCTTTCCTTAGCTTCTCTGACCTAACATGCAGTAGAATAATGTTTGTATAGATAAGGGAAGTATTGTCTTCAGAAGTAAAGTCCTGGAAGTCCACATGGACATTCAAAGAGAGGTGAAGACAGCACTCTGGAGAGAATATCTACCCAGCAGGATTTCTCACCTTGGGTTTTCCGGTACCCCTATGTGTCCCATGAAAGTACTTTGCAACCCTGAGTCCCAAAATGATGAATATCTGAGACAGAGAGGTCTATTGTCTATCACTAGCCAGGCCTTAAACAGTATTTCTGTATTTCCTGGGTTTTTGGTATAGCACCAAGCAGTACTATCTTGGTTTCTATAAATAGTTTTAAAAACTCAAAAGAGAGCTATATAGCATTTTACCTTAATGTGTAAAGGATTTTCCCATCATTCCAGATTCTGAGGAGCTGGTTGGGTGTGGTAATCCAGTGAGCCTCTGCTGTTTTTGAGTTTCGAAAGATGGTGTCTGGGATCCATATCAAGCCCACCATGTTGCTGTTTAGAGTTAGTATTTTCATTGTGCTGTTAAATCGAAGGCGACTGTCTGTCCAGGTTTGAGCAAAAAATATATCAATTTGGTATTCCTGAAACAGAGAAAAGATACTTTCTCTTAATGTATAGTCAATCTGAAAAGCCTTTCAGGCTGGAAAAGAAAACAAGCAGGAGCCCAGGAATCTGAAACCTATGAGATATTAACAGAGTAGGTGATCTGACCATCTTCATCTGGTTCCTGAACACTTTCCTCCTAGTAAGGAGGCATCCAATTCACACAGGCTTCTGAGTTTTAAGGAAAGTGAATTTCAATATACTTTGCTGTCTTTTTCTTTTTTAGGGGGGCAGGGAGGGTGTTTAAGACAGGGTTTCTCTGTGTATCCTTGGCTGTCCTGGATTTGCTTTGTAGACCAGGCTGGCCTTAAACTCACAGAGATCTGCCTGCCTTTGCCTCTCTGAGTGCTGGGATTACAAGCTGGTGCCACAGTGCCAGGCTTGCTTTGCTGTCTTTGTCAAAAGTTTACTTTTACTCTTTGTTCTCACTTCTCTCAACCCTCCTTTTGTGAGCAGTTGATACACCGTCTGCCTTAACATATTCACATCCAACAAACACTAAATGGTATTATCAACAAAGAGCATTGTGGAATTCTTGATGCATGGTTTTATTAACCTTAAGTTGCAATAAGAATTTATGGTCTGGTAGAGGTTGAGGAGAGAAGAGCACACACTTTAGGACATGATGCAGAGTCTATGCAAACCTAATCTTTGACAAGGAGTGTGATAAGTCAGAGCCAATGCTCTAATCAATGAGAAAAAATAATGTCCCCTTCCTAAATGTGTAAAGTGTAAATGAAATGAAATGATGAAATGGAAACCTAAATGCTGAGAGCTGTGTAATGGAGAGCCAGTAATTTATAAATACTAGCTGATAAAATAACATCATTGTTGCATAGTCTTCTCAACACTATTTGAAGAAGAGAGAGGAGGAGGAGCAAGAAATAAAGAGCACAAAACCACAGTGAAAAACCACTGAGGGCAATCATGATGCTAATATGTGGCTTGGTGGGTATTTAGGGTCAAACAGGAAAGGCCCCATGTTGGGAGCTATTGTTCCAGGCTTCACAGGCCCGATATGACTTTGCTGTAATGATTAGAGAATTAGGACAGGGCTGAAAGCAGCACAGAACAAAAGGAATGTCTCTGCCTGGTCTGTCTCAAAGGCTGTTTAGTCACACTGTGAAGAGTCATCAGAGGGCTAGGGAAACGTGGGTTTAGGGGCTTAACCGCAAAAGCTTGATCACTTTCATAGTTTCCTTTGTGTATCAAATATTATAATTTTAGTATTTTGCATAACATGAACTCAGTAGCTTTCAGTGGACCAAGTATTTCTCTTTTCAACTGAGCTTCCAGGTATCCGAACAGACTTTTATTCTTCATATGTAGCAAAGTTTGTGGTATATCTGTTTAGAAACAGAAAACAGGGCAGATCGATAGACAGTCCTTCAGAGAAGGGGGAGTTAAGAGCAGAAAATCTGAGTTTTCTGTGAGATTTGAGCAGCCATGGGAAAAGCTGATTAAAAATCTTCTCCATAAGACTCAAGTTAATGTGAACATCTCAGCAAATAGATGGTCTTTCTAAAAGGTCTCTTTGACTTGCATTCATCTTCCAAACATGCCCTTATGAATTAATGACTTCTGCCTCCAAAATGCATGTATAACAAGCTGTTCTTCAACCCAAAACACACAAGGCAGAGTATGAGATATAAGTAACTACATAAGTATGAAAGTTAGTGCGTGTGTGTACATGTATATGTGTGCATGACCATGTCTGTGTGTGTGTGTGTGTGTGTGTGTATGTGTGTGTGTATGTGTGTTTCCCTTTCATATATTCTCTCATGTCTAACTGATACAAAAACTTAGACTGAAAACTGGATGGTTACATGTAGAAGCATCCAAATAGATACATACTTTTTACCCAGCACAACTATCAACTCTAAATGTATTAAAGACCTCAGAATAAAGCCAGATACACTGAATTTGATAGAGGAGAAAGTGAAGAATAGTCTTGAACTCCTTGGCACAGGAAAAGGCTCTCTAAACAGAAATACCAATAGCATAGACACTAAGAACAATAATGAATAAATGTGAATTCATGTGGGGCCTCATGCCTTTAATCCCAGCACTTGGGAGGAAAACCAGGTTGATCTCTCAGTTCAAGGCCAACCTAGTCTATAAAGTGAGTTATGACTACACAAAGTAACTCTGTCTAGAAACATAAACCAAGTAAATAAGCAAGAAATCAAACAAACAAACAAACAAACAAAAAATAAAGTAAATGGGAACTCATGAAACTTAACATCTTCTGTATGACATCATTCAGACAAAGTACCTGGCTACTGAATGGGAAAAGATTTATGCTAACTCTATATCTGCTAGAGGGCTAATATCCAAAATATATAAAAAACAAAACAAACAAACAAACAAACTTGACATCATGAAAACAAATAACCCAATTTTAAAAATTGGGTACAGATCTAAACAGAGAATTCTTAAAAGAGAAAATTCAAATGATTGAGAGTATTTAAAGAAATGTTCAACATACTTAGTCATCAGGGAAATGCAAATCAAAATTACTCTGAGATTCCATCTTACATCAGTCAGAATGGCCAAGATCAATACAAAAAATTACTGCAGCTCATAACAGTGACCATATGGGACAAGGAAAGCACTCATCCATTGCTGGTAGAGTGCAAACTTATGGAAATCAGTGTTCCCGAGGAAGCAGAGAATTGATCTACTTCAAGATCCATCCATACTACCCTTGAGCATAAACCAAAAGGATGTTTCCTTATACTACTGAGACACTTTCTTAGCTATGCTCACTGCTGCTGTATTCATAATAGCCTGATTTTGGAAACAACCTAGATATCAATTAGTGAATGAATGGATAAAGACATGTGGTGGATTTATTCAATAGAATATTATTCAAAAGTTAAAAATGAATTCATCAAATTCATAGGTAAATAAAAGAAGCTAGAAAAAACTGTCCTGTGGTAATTTAAACACAAGAAGAAAAATGTAGTATATATTAACTTATATGTGGATGTTAGCTGCTGCATCATTGATATGCAAAACTACAACCCATATAACCACAGAGGTTAAGTATATAATAATGGACTAGGAGGGGAAAGATGAATCTCCTTAGGAAGGGGAAATAGAATCTGTGGTTCTCAACCTTCCTAACTCTGCCACCCTTTAATAGTTCCTCATGTTGTGGTGACCCCCAATCATAAAATTATTTTGTTGCTATTTCACAACTGTAATTTTGCTACTGTTGCGAATCATAATTTAAATATCCATGTTTTCTCACGGTCTTAGGTGAACCCTGTGAAAAGGTTATTCAATTTTCAAAGGGGCCATGATTCACAAGTTGAGAACCAGTGGAATAGATAGTCATGGTGGTGTGCAATGAGATGATCAAATGGGGATGGAAAGAGAGAGAGAGAAGAGGGACTGAGGAAGAAAGAGGATATGGGTAGTGACAGTTAAAACTAAGGGCCATTTTTATGGTCATATGGAAAACTAATACAGTAAAAGCTTTCTAAAATACATATAAGAAGATGTATTAAATAAAATCACCAAATAATGGGAGGACAAAGTTCCAACTGGACATCTCTCATCACTAAATGAAGTTTCTAGTACCAGGAATGGGATAACATCTAATTGAGTTCTTGGACAGAGGAGTTCCATGGGAGCCCTCAATCAGCTCAGTCTATTGCTATTGACTCTCTCCACAACTGATGGTAAGGTCCTATTGCTGAAGGCAACATTTATACAACTCATTGGACACAGAGAAGTCAAGTTGGTGCTACCTAGAGCCTTCACCCCTACTGATAGCATTCATAGTAGCGAAAGTTACTCTGCATATTACCAAAAGAAAAAGGTAAACACCATTCCAACTACAAAATCTTTGCTCTGCAATGGTGACCTGCCTGCAAGATACACTGGTACAATAGTGACACAAAGTGTGTGGGAGTAACTAACCAATATCTGATTTCAGTTAAGGCCCACTCCATAAGATGGAACCCATATCCATTGCTGTTTGGATGGCCAAGAACCTCAGACTAGCTAGGTCATGGGCCTAGGGGAAAACCAAATACTAATGTTTTGCTAAAAGAACATAACAATAAAATGACTCCTAATAACATTCTGCTACACTCATAGATCCATGACTTGCTCTGCTCAGCCATCATCAGAGATGTTCCTCTCTCTCTCTCTCTTTCCTTTTCTCCCTCTCCCTCTCTCTGCTGTGAATGAGAATATATCTGTGAGTTACTTCTCCATCACCATGCCTGCCTGCCTGCCATAACCCTCTTAAACTAAGAAAACTCCAATTAAATGCTTTCTTGGATAAGAGTTACCTTGGTCATGGTGCCTTTAATAGTGACTAAGACAGCATCCTTTGAGAACAGACTAGATGAGGCAAGCACCCTGTTGCCCTCCAGATGGCAGCATCTGCAGTTGGTTCAAGATGCAAATGGAGTGGCCATAGATTCAAAGGACCAAATGAAGATGTAACCTTGACCTTTGACATGAAAAGCACTGAAATTTTGTTTTGCCTCCCTTGAAGAATAGAGAAGTCTATTTTCTTTGATACAGAAGGAACATACATAAGCTCGATACTGAATACATTGCTCTCTGGAATGTATTCCAGTTCAGCATTCCACCTTCAAGCAAATGGTGGACCTGCTTCCCCTGAGGTGTGGAAATGGTACCTTTCCTTATCACAAGTTGATATGTGAGAGGGGCACTTGACCAGCCTACTTGGAAGCCACATGAACCTACACAGATACAAGTTCTGCAAAGACAAGCTAGACTCACTGTGAGCAGTGTTTTCCAAGCTGTTCGTAAGATGGGAAAGTCCCAGCCTGCTTCACTGACACATGGGATAGAAGGCCCCCAGGATGTAAAGTTCACAGACACAGAAGGGCCTCATTGAGCATGTGACTTAGTGGGAATTCCTAAATTAGGTGTGCATTGGCCTATGTTGACAGCACTGGTCAAGATAACAACCAACAGAAGAGGAAACAAC